TTATTACAATACGCTCTAGTTAACAACTATTCGCAATCAGAAAGTTCTATCCCGTTTCTTTTTTTTTAATCTTGTTATTGAGTTAATTTAATTGGGCTATCAATTGAATTAATTTTATGCGCTTATGACTCACCTGATTCATTATCTATGAAAATGTCTTAGATATTATATTCTATTAAATATAATTTTTGGATGATACTGCTTTAGAAAGTATTAAGTTAATCAAATTACGAGTTGTTTATCGGTTTTCATTATTCAGTGTTTTCATCAGCTTTAACCAACTTTTCTGAAAGTGATGCAAATGATTTTAATTTTTCTTGAAAAACTATTTTCACTCTCGTCATATATTTTGCATGCATATTTTCAATTTCTTCATTAAAACTTATGACAAAATTGCGCTTTTTACTATCAATATATCATTTTATCGCCATCAATGTATCGCTATCAGTTCTTTTATTTGTTCTTCAAAAATGATCAATCTTCGATCGTGCAAATAGGCAAATTTATCATATCATTTGAAATACAACTGTTTTATGGTTTCTTCTTCACAGTAGTTATTCATATGCTGCTTTTTGTAAATCATTTTTAACTTCTCCAATTTTAACCAGATTTCATATTGCGTATCAAAAGACATTTTGGTACGTAATTTTCGTACAATAAGCAAATACTTTAATATTAATTATGTATTGGCAGTTTTGATCGAGCATCTTTTGTCATATTTCTGGTATTTTATAATTCCGAAATCATAATTTTTTTTGGTGGTTATTGGTAAAAACCTGATCGAAGTGCTTGTTGACAGGCTGATTTGAGGTAAAGGTTTTACCGCCTAAATTTTTTCTCATGTATTGTTATTCGTCGGATTGCATCAACTAATGTCTTTCTCGGGTCTTTATATGCTTCAACCATACTTCTTGGACTTGGTGCATCTTGGACATCAAAATACCAGGAATTAAAATTAGCAAACCAATTTTGGCACTGTCGTACATTCAACACGTCATTTCCGTCCACATCGGTCAATTTTATTTTGACCTGAACAGTTTTTTACTCTTTTTTATGGCAAAAGAGAGTAAAATATGTCGAAAATTCTGCTTGATTCTTCCCGTATTCAAAATGGCACCATCCAAAAACTACTGCATGTAATTGATTACAATTTTTACACGCATGCTTTAAATGTAAGTTTTCAAATTATATAATAATTATGAGGCTTAAGTGTGATGTTAGGTTCAAAAAAATATAGTTAAATTCTGGTGGTAAAAAAACGAACGAAGTGACTTTCTGAATAACCTTATAGATTATTTCTTTTTTATGGATTTTTTAGTACATATCTCAGATCTATGCGAATCCAAGCTGTAAATGTGTCATTTTATCAAGTTTTATGAAATTTAGGAATTAGATTCCTTGTCGGTAGTGTTCTCATTATTGTAAAGTTGCACTGAGACTGCTGTGTTTCTTGTTTTTCTTGTTACCTAAAGTAAGAACTCTCATAGTCTATACTTGCCCAAATATTTGTGCTCTACATTTACTGACCATTATGCTATATATTGATTTGCTTTTCTTTTTATGGCTTTTGAATGTTTTGTATATGACATTTTTGTAATTGAGTCACAGTTTTCCATAATTTTCCCAGATCATGTATCTATCACATGTAATTGCTACATTAATCATTAATCATCACCATATAAGTCGTTTTATCAATAATACATTGATTTGTTTGACTGTTTCACTTATGTAATATTTTTTGCAATTATAGACTTAAAATTTAAAGTTTAAAAGATTTAAAAATATTTTGTTTGCCAACTCTAGTCTTGGTTTAAATAAATAACCTGGTTACCAATGCATAATTTAGTGCTGACTCACAATATTGTTTTTATTATGTATGGTAATTATTTTTCCTGTATATTGTTATTGAACGTTTACTAAAATTGTGAGAGTAAATACATTTTCCAATCGATGCTTTAATATATTTTTTTTAGTAACAATATTGGACTATTGGTGGAAAGTATAGAAAACTTTAGTTTCAATCTCCGGAAAATTGTCTCTACACCATGAATTCATATTTAATAAATTCTTATTATTCGTGACGTACAATTTGTTACAGGTTACCTATGCAAAGACAAATCCGATACAGGTGTGAGAAGACTTCTTCAACAAGACGCAATGCCACTGAATAGATTGTTAGTTCATTCCGATTCGCCTTTTATGTTTCCCAATATAAGAGCTTCAAAGCTTCCTGAAAATATAAAATGTTGTTTGACTGAAAGATCAAAAGCGTTTTTACATAGATATTGTACCTTCCAAAGAAATGAACCTTGTTGTCTTCCTGCCATTGCTGAAATTTTGGCAGCTTTTATGAATAAAACTCCTGAGGAGGTAGCTTTAGCGACAGCTTTTAATGCTATTAAATTATTTGGATTATCGCAATGATAAATATGTTACATTTTACAATATTTTTATTTATATGTAGATCTTGATTGTGGTTTAATGCGTTCGATACGTTTAGGAGGTGGAATCCCAACGTTTTATAAAAGAAATTAAAGATATATTATTTTACTTCATTTTCTGATAAGTAAATATTAACACTGCTTATTTTTTCAGTAAAATAATTATCTGTTTCTGTAAATAATTATTATTGTTTGATACTTCTATCATTTTTTGCCTAAAAGTATATAACATAAAGTAAAATATATAGTGACCCGATGCGAAAATATTGTGGATATATTTTTTCTTTCTGAAAGAATGATTTTTATTTTTTCTCATTGAAAGTTTTAATTGTCATTTCATTGATTATTAGAAACTTGTATTTTTTGATGATGATTTCGAATTACGGGAATGATTCAGATTGATTTTTTAGATATGCAATTGTAAAATTTCATAAAAAAAACAACGAGTTGACTCGTTAAAATTTCTCCAAGCATATAACATGTCTCGATGAGAAGTCATTTTTTAAAATCTTTTTCATCTATTTTATTTAATTTAATATTTATTTTAATTTAATAGTTATTAAAAGTCATGCTTTATAACTTGTTATAGTAATTGGTGCATTATAATTTTCGTGTTTTTGGTTTTTTCTTTAAAATTATTTGTATGCACTAAAGATGAGTCAAATCAGGAGCCGAAACGTTTGACAATAAAACATTTTACTTCAATAAAATAGTTTCAATTATTGGGTGGGACGCCCAAGAACAATTTTTATTATAATATTTACCATCTCAAAAAACCTCACGATATATATATATATATATATATATATATATATATGTATAAATTGTTCGAAATACCACTATAACTATATATTTTATACAACTATAATTGATATGTGCGTGCAATTACAATTTAAGGAATTAACTGAAATTCGACCCACAATATTTATCATCGAACTAAAGTTTCATTTCAAAAATGTTTTTTATTTTAGTTTACAATTATTGAGATAATTTCACATATAAAAAATTAGTTTGGGATCTATCTCAAAAATTAATTTTAGCATTTTGGATAATACAGATTGTGCAAAATAACCAAAGAATAAAATAACTATTTAAAAGACTTTGGGTTTCTGACTTCATGATGTTCTTACCAATTATATATAATTTTGCAATATTAATTAATCAAAAAAAGATAATATCACTCAAAAGATGAGTTCGATATAATATTTTAT